TTTGACCCTCTGTTGTTCCACCATACCTAAGGGGTGGGGTCATAGTTTGAACAAACTTACAGTACCCATGGTTGCTTTTGTATAAATATAATTAACTAGAGCCGAGCTCGTTGCAAAGCAATGAATAGGTCTTCCGTTGGAGTTACGAACTAGAAGCCGTAACCTTGAGTCGAGGTCAAAAGCCACATACTAGAGATATACAAGTAAAAAACCTTGAAAGAGAAGCAACTTACAATGTTTCGAGAGGAAAAAGACTGTAAAGGAATACTTGTATGTGTGACCTTGATCTTTCCAAATGACCTTGTGCTAAGCAATAACTAACTCTCGTTAGAGCTAAAATTGAGATAAAAAGAGTTAGGTCAAGGTCGAAAGAAAGGCCAAGTTCAAAAATGGTGATGCCATTAAATAGCTCTCATCAATATGCATCAACATGTGAAGTTTGATGACACCATTTTAAATGGTATTTTTAGAACTGAGCTAAACACTAATTTAAGAAAAGTGAGGTATATACATGTATATAAAGTCTAGTTTTAAAGAATGTTAATGCAATTGCATAACTCTAATTAATTTCTTTCAGTATATTAAGATTGATAAAAATATCTTGGATAGTTTGTTTGAAACTGAGCTTTGAACTGAGCTAAAGGCAAAGTGTGACAGAAGGAGAGACGGAAGGACATTCTTATTCATTTTAAGGGATGGGATACTTATAGTGATGAGAGGAATTTAACAACCTGTCGCTTCATGAAACATTATTTCGGAATGTCTGTATACAGCTGCGTGGCTTTTCTTAGAATGAAATTAGTAGTTTTTGAAATATCTAAATAATTCTTTTATTAACGCCGTGATATTTGATAGGCTGTATAATAGCTGTTCGGATATAGTGCCGTTTGAAGGTCCAACACCTTTCTTTTAATATAACCAAAGGTTCTAGTGATCTTTTTTCTGTATAGTCGAAATGCATGGGAGAAAGAAAGAAACGTATGTGGTCGTTCAAAAAACAAATTTATGAGTTGTGTTTTTCATCTATACAGACATCTTTTTTCTTCTGGTTTTCCTTTTTTAGCCGGGCTCATTGTTCGTAAAGCAATGCCCGGCTATTGCGACGGTGAGCAATGGGAAATGCTGCTTCTTCATCTCCAATTTGAGTTTACGAGTAAAAATATAGTGCGTACGCCCAGCCGCTGTTGAGAAAACAAAATCCATGCAAACACCTTTAGAAATAGTAAATCGAATATTTTTATTAAAATATAAAATTGTTTAATATTTTTCCTGGCTCCTTTGACTAATATTTTACAAAGCAATTTAAAAGGTGCGAAAGGTTTTCACCAGGTATCCCTGTCTGCGCCATATTCTATAAATAAAGGTTGTACTATCAGGCTAACACAAATGCAGGGAACACCATTAATGACTTGATGTAAAACTCTCCGCTGAGGACACATCAGTGCAGAGTCGTTTGACCTTAATTAATCTTGCTGCATCTGTGATTAGTTACTTCTGTTTGTATATAAAACCCCGAAACGATACATGTGATAAATATTTTACGCTGTTAATTTCTAGCTATATTTTATTTAATTTTTAAAACATTTTAATATACATGCCATTGAGATATTTTTGTATGTAACATATCCTCTATACGTCTGAAATTGATTTTAAACTGTCACCACGGTCTTTGTTCATATAATGACCTGGCTTTCAGTACTTCTGAGTACTTTGATTGTGAATTGCCGTTTATTTTGTTTACAAGTTTGTGTTCATAACGCTGTTCATACGCGCTACCATTGTGAGAGGAGAAAACAAGTCGTCGTCCAGCAACAATGACTGACCAGATTTACGTTTATATCACTGTAATCATTATACAACCAAATATCAGAGCGAATCGATAATTTAAGAACCTAGTTAAATACATAGGAATTCAATAATTAAGGAAAGAACTCAATTTATATTTCATGATAAATTGGCAATAACGAATTTTCTAATTTTGTAAAACCATATTCTGAAAGCTCTGGATGTATATGTTTGGTCACTTTTCCATGTAAAAGTTCATACATATAAAACATGTAATTATTATCGGCTGCGGTAGAGGACAATCTTTTTGTGATTGTGTTAGTGAGTGCACATGGGGAAATGAGACTCTTTTTTTATTACTTCAATAAAATAATTCGTAAATTATAACAAGTAAAAATCATGCGTAAAATATTTTAAAATCTTGCTTAAACTTAATATTAAATGTTGAAATATATTTCAATTTCATTGCCATTAATATCTCATGATCATCGATAATTTATGGTCATAAAAAAGAGTTCACATCAGATACTCCCCAGCCTGAGAGTGTGTAAGATTTGAAAAGAAATCTCTTGATTTTCAGGATAATGATGATGTGGTTATAGTTTATGGTGAATAAAAAAAAAAAATGAGGAGTTTTTCAACTTTTAGTAAAAATTGTTTTGAACTTACTCTTCATCTACAAATGACACAAAGATCATGAAGATATTTTTTTTTTTAATTTTGCACTGCGATTTGCAGCATAGCCTGCTCTGCAGAAACCATGAGCATTATCACGTAATAAAGATCCAGGGTATCGAGGTCGGACAGGCTTACACCTTCATTTTGATGACAATAAATTCTTCTTATACATCATTGAACATGTTTGTTTTTTAACATCGATAAATCTATTTATGAGCAAATGCGGTAAAATCATTTTTTTATTTTGCTTTGAAATCAGCCTGAAATAGAATTGAAAAACTATTTCAGCTTAGAATTCCTTGCATGTGAAAGAATGTTTTGCTTTGCAGCCAATTTGATGCTTTGCGTCAATTAAATTCGTACTGACATTGTACATGTAAAGGCATGTATAATATTCTGTTTATTGGACGAAATAGTATACCATTCTGTACAATATCATTTTAAGTTTACTAGCAAATAACTGCAAACTCAAAAGTGCTTAATTTCATGTTGGATTTCCCCCTGTGTATTAGAAACGTTAACTCCACTTACTATTATCATGCATGCGTATGTCACAGAGTAAATTCTAAAAAAAATTATTTTAAAATGTAACAGAATTTAATTTTATAAAAAGAATTATTTTCAATGCTTATTTTTGACATATGCTCAAATTCATTTATCTAGCAATTAATGTTTAGACAGCAAAAAGTAATTTGTCACTCAATATTTATTTTAGGAATTAGTGTCAATCCTCTGCCTCAAAGAGTGTCCGACTCGTATGTGTGATAATTGCGTAAATGAGTTAATTGAAGTTTGAGTGAATCCCGTATGTTGTGTGAGAGAGTCAGTTTCAGATCCGCCGTGGACAATCCCAGACGTGAAAATTAGATGCACTGGACATTCCGTCATCAAGAAAATATAGTTTATCTCTGGACTATTCCGAGTTACCAAAACGTTTGTGTGTGTGTCCGTGTGTGAGCGTTACAACTCGTCTTTGTTTTATGTGACTTGATTTATTTTGCAAAATACAAACTTTAACTTTTTCTTGCTTTATTTTCGTTTAATGAATTTTCATCACAAGTTCACTTATGTTACGTACATGTAGTTTAGATTCATAAAACAATTACCACTTCGATAAATACAGGAAAAAAGTGGTGTAAACCTTGCTCGTGTTTTTTTTTTGGCTATCAAAAGGCATAAAACTTGAAATGAATAAATGCACAAGCGATTACGATTGATTAAAACAAGCTGAAATAAAGTGAAATTGAATGATATGAAAGGAGTCGACATGATTTCAAACCCAATTTTCCATTTGTAACTATCGGAGTACACAACGGATTTTCAAATCGACATACCCG